AAATTATAGCTAATTTGATAAATCATAGAAATTATATCAAACATAGGATGGCAGTGATTTATTTAAAGTGAAGCAGTCACTGGAATTTTTTTTCCATTGCTTGGCAAAACTAACCTTGATTTATCTTGTATTTTCTTTTTGAGGGTTCTTTGGAGGTATATAATAATATTGGTACATTAAGCAGCCACAAAAAGTCCAGAGATATTTTAGTGAGCGACTGCTCATTTGTAAAAGGTACACATTCAAGGGCTGTGGCTCTTTAATTCAGTCACGTTAGGTTATGTGTTATCTCATCATGGCAAAGTGGCCCCAAGTGGTGGGTGGCAAGTATCCATGTCACACATGGTCAAGTCTACTCTAAGTAGTGTGGGGTAAACATCTCTTTGTATCTTTAGCTCTGACTGCAATAACTGAATAAAAATAGGCTTAGTGTCTCCCTATTGCCGCATTTTCTAAAAATCTCGTGTACAGCAGCCTAAAACTGAGAGCGGTTTCCCATGTTCTGCTTTTTTCACTTGAATGGTTGACCAGGTGATGCCTGGCCAGTGGCCCAGTATGGCACAGATATCCTGGTGTAAATGGGTTAGATACTCAATTTGAATACTAGGCATAGAGTAAATTCATGACATATTAATACAATTATCACAAATGGCAAGAAAACATGCTATGCCCACTGTAATGTAAGTTTATTTATTGTATTTACACATAGATGGTTCTACAAGTGCTTATTCACCAAGGAGTTAGTTGTTAATTCTACCAATCTCAACTGTTTACCCTTTTCCCTGACTTTTGGAAAGGGTCTTTTGTATTATTTCATTGTCTTAAATGTTAACAAGATTTTAGTAATAATTTAATAATCATAACGTCAATAACAGTTATAACAGTATTGATATCAACTGTATTAGAAGAAAACAAAAAACATTTCCCACCAATTCAAGGAATGGGGAAATCAGGATCGGACTACTGATAGACTCCTTGCCAGCTGAGGATGTGAAGTCATCTGTATGTAACAAAATTCAGAAAAAAAACTATAGGGGATAGAACTTAAATCCGTGGTGGCTGGGTTAAATTAACAATTGTAACAACAAGAGACCTCTCTTGGCATCTGATTGTCATCAATCAGATGATTGATGAAGCCTTACCTGTATTCTCAATTGTTACTTAACCTTTTTATGGAAATATTAAGTGTATACTTTTTATTTGATGCTTAGAGGATAAGTGTGTAAGTGTCCAAAGCTATAGCAGGAAAACAAAATTGTGTATCTAGGTCAAGGTAGTAATGTACAAATTAGACTCAGCAAACTCAGATTTTTCACACCAGTGAAAAAATTTAAATGTTGAGCTAGTGTTTTTTAAGTGGGAGAACTTTTGTTTGTTTATTTTCCACTATATTAGATGTACAGTTAGCAGGTTTGAATTGAAAACAGTACATCAAAGTTACTTGACAAGAATGCTAGGTTTAATTACCCAATCTATTCCAAGCAAGATTAGTAGATGTCAACCTATGATAGTGATAGTTGCCCAAAACCATCAACATAGAATGAAAAGTAAAGGAAAAGAAGAATGACACAAATGTGTACTTTGAATATCTATTGATTTATTATTTCCCCTCTGGTTGTGGTGAATTGTCTAAAAGGTCCCATGATCATCTCCCTGGAATAATTACATAAAGAGACCTGTGCTTTCTAGTTAATTTCTTAGTACTTATATCAGTAGTAAAATTGCTATCAAACATCATGCTGTTGTGGAGCAGGGTGGTATGTAATGTGATCCCTGACAGTCACATGGAGTGAAGGAAAGGGAAATAGACTTTATTGGAGATAGTAATAGAATATGAATTGACCCTGTCGATGTTCCTCTTTTAACAGACTAAATAGAAATATTCACCTGCAAACCAGGTAGCCAAGGATTGATGTCAGCAATGATTGAAGGGATAAGTAAAGGGGTTTAAGTTACTGGAGGTGAGTTTCATAAAGAATTTAGGATGAAACTCTCCATTTAAGTATTAAACCACCCTCGTTTGTTGTTAGTTAATCCTTTGGGGCTGTAATTTTGCCCTTTGATGTGTTTATACTTTTTTTTTCCTAAAGAAAGAAAAAAAAACTACCAGTGATGATAACTCCCTCCTCTGATCCTATGCCTTGTATTTAACGTTGTTTAAGGATCTTATTAAAGAATATATGATGTGCGTTGTCCCCAGTAGAGAATACATTTTCCAATATCTTATCCATTAATACCTTGGTTTACTGATATTTATTTTTAGATTTTTTCCCCCCCACTCTGCCTTTGATTACTTATTTTTTATTTATTTTTTTATTTTTTTTTAATTCATTTATTTATTTATTTTTTGCTCATAAAGAAAGTAGAGCATATATCTACAGGAACCCTAAAATCCTTCTGCACTAGCCCCCATTACAGTTTCGGATGATTTTACTTACAGGCAGAGTTCTTATGGTAATACAATGTTATACCAGAATAATTGAATTTTTCGGAAAATGTGTGTATATATTTATATGCATGTGTCTAATATACCACTCTTCTCCAACTTTGGAAATTTAACAAAAGAGTAGAGCATACAAACATAAAAATATGGAAGGTAGACCTTTCACTCAGTGTAACATTTGAACATGATTAACCATACCATTATAAGGTATATATCACCCTTGTTGATAACTGCAACCAAAGTCAATTACTAATCAAGTTGTATGTTGGCTTACATATATCTCTTATTATTATTATTATTATTATTATTACTATTGTTGTTATTATTGTTATTATTTATTTGCATGCGTACATTGATTCATTTTGTATGCTTTGTTGCTTTGGTTCCGAAGGTATTACTTTGAGCTTGAGTATTGTTTTGTTATAGTGATATATTTATTTTGTACCTGGTTTTGTTAATAAATTTAATTTAATTTTTTTTTTTTTTTTTTTTAGTGATATAATTGCTATCCATTTTTTGTAGCTACATATGAATTCTTATTCATTGAGGAAATTGCTTTAAGGTTTTTTAGCTGATAGTAGATTTTGTAACAATTTGTACATAAAGTAAAGAATTATGTTTTATATATTTATTTACATTTTGTTGCATGATGGTAGATAAAAACAGATTCTTGAATAATGTTTTCATATTAAAAAAAAGAAAAAGGCTGCATGAATAGTATATCTTTAAGTCAACCATACAAAAAGACAAATTATATATTCTTTTCTCTTGATTTTATTTATGCCTTTGTAATATCAATGAGAATGAAAATCAATCAATTTGTTAAAAAAGAAAGAAAAAACAGGTTGCAGCACAGAGAGAACAATGAGGATGAGCAGAAAGACCTAGGAAATAGTTGGCACCTCGAAACCTTTCTTTGTTGGTAGGACTCGGAGTTCAGGCGCTACGACTTCTATCCGGGGCAGCAGCTAGTGGGCTGCGCAAGGGCCTTCGAAGGGGTGGAATGGATATACCGGACTCGCGAAATGGAGGTCGCATTATCCAAGCCCCACAAATCGATTAAGGTCACTGTGGAACAAGTACAGGTATGGGTCTTGTATACTGCTAAGGTCTGGGTTTAAGTTTTGGGTTAGATGTAAGTGTGCTGTAGATAGTGTGGGTTTTATTTTTTATGTTTCATAATAGTTTACACATTTTATTTTACTTTCCTATACACGTAGCATCTTAGCCATGCATATTTTACTCTATGCATATAATTACACTATATCTAGACATTTCATCATCTTAGCCATACATATTTTACTCTGTGGATACAATTACATAATAGCTAGGCATTTCATCACCTTAGTTATGCATGTTTTACTCTATGGATATGATACATTATATCTAGACATTTCATACTGTGACTATTCACAGGTTGTGCAGCTTGGTGTCCGTTGGCAGTGCCGTGCATTTTCTAATGACCCTAATGTAGACAAGGAGCAGCCGAAGTATTTAGTTCAGGGGGAGGACTTGAAGAGGTAAGTGGTCACGATTTATATTTTATTTATTTTTGTTTATTGTTAGTCTTATTTTTGCATTGTATTTGGTAACTGACTTTTATTTTTATTATCATATTATTGTCTGTTAATGGGTTAATGTGTTGGCGACAAGTATTGTTGGTACAGTTACATTTTGCAGATGAACTGTAAATGTACAAATTGTATCTGTACAGTTTCGTAATTTTTCCACAGGGTGAAGATGTTGAATGTATTCGAACCTTGCACACTGCAACTCGGAGACCGCAACTATTACGTCTCGAAGGAAGGGGATGTGATCATGACACGTGACCAGTGGAGGAAGCTCATGGCAGCGCAGTTGACCGCAGACCACACCAATCCCTGTCCCCTGAGGCCTCGACCAGCCAAGAATAAGTCAAGTAGGTTCAGTGGTTGTTTTCTAACGTAGTATTGAGGTAAAAGGACTGCGTTTGATAGATTTGTGGATGTATTTATTTTTCCCCCCGATTAGTTTGCGTGCCGTTTTTTTTGTGTTTTTTTTGTAGTATTGAGCAGTTGGTGTTTTTATTTTGATTATTGATTTTTTTTTTATGGTTTGTTCTATGGAGTTAAGAGATAATGGAAGGATTTCTGGAATGAATGGTGTTATTATACATTCAGAATAGAAACTTACACTACAATATCTTGTGGTTGATTCATAAGGCATTGAATATCATAAAAGTTATAGGTCTGTCTTTGCAATGGTTTTATTTTTAAGGCATTGAATATCATAAAAATCATAGGTCTTACTTTGCAATGATTGATTTATAAGGCATTGAATTTCATAAAAATCATAGATATAGGGTTTTGTTTGTAGATCTGTGGAAACTGTAGTCATTATGTGATTGTAGATTCTATATTGGAATTATACGATATGTCCTAAAATTTATCACATTGAAAGAGTGGAAGTGTATGAAAATGGTTGGATGAACTATCTGTTTGTTTGTTTTTATTGATTTTATTAGAATAGAGAATTTATGGCTTTAATATTTATTTCTGCACATAATTTTGTGGTGAAATCATTAGCTTGTTCCATATTATTTATTTTTTGTGTGTGTGTGTGTTCTGCACTGCAAGACTTCGTTTTTGTAACTTTCTGTCACACAAACAAACTGAAAATTGTGTATGATTCTTATTTTACACTCACTTCTGCTTTGCTGGTTATAATTTGTAATATTGCAGTATTTGCTGAAATGCTGTCACCTTTTTTTTTTCTTTGCACTCATTTGTTCCACACTTTCATTTTGTATTTTATTTGATTTATTAAGTTAATTGCTTTACAGAAAGGAAACCCCGCTCAGGTTTAACAGGAGATGCTGAGCAGACTGCAGGTATGGACAGGCTTTGCACCACTCCTTTTAGTTTCTTTTTAATGTTTGATTTGTATCTCTTTTTGTTTAGCTTCTTTTGACAGTGTGACAGTGTCAGTTGAATTAACTACCAATTACAGGCACTACCTAGATTGTTATTTAGAAAGACTTCAGAGGGATGACAAATAGTTCCTTGTTATAGATGCCACCAAAAGTCCCATCAAGGAATCCTTATACCCTTTTTATATCTATTGAGTAGAGAGCCAGTAGCAGTGTGGGTGAGAGTGAAGTGTAGTGTAGTGTGTTTTACGGCTGAGCTTTAAATCTCTTGGTTTTAGAATAGGCAGTAAAGATTAAACCTTCTTTGGGACTTGCAGAACATGTAGTCTTTACTTGTGTACTATAGCTACTTAACTCTTCGTCTGCTGGTACATGGATTGTCCTCTGTAGTTTTTTTTTTTTTTTTTTTTTTTTTTGTGGATAATGTTGCACACAGATGGCTCCACAAGTGCTCAGTCACCAAGGATTTAATTAGCAGGTCTTTTGTGACCTCACCTGATTTCTCCATTCCTTGATTTCTTTATTTGATTCTGTTGATGTCATATTATTATTATTATAATTATTATTATTATTAGCATTATGATTATTATAATGTATTAGAATATCAATAGCAATGAAAGATACGAAAGAATCTTCCCCAAAATCAAGGAAAGGGTGTACAGGTGAGATAGGTAAGGCTAGTAATTGTCTCCTTGGTGACTAAGTACATCTATGTGTAAACTTGATTAAAAAACTAAAAACACAGTGGACGTGGCATGTATGTCAAGCCATCCTAGCACAGAGCATTAACCCAATGGTGACAGGTGAAGAAAACAAAAAAAAAAAAACTCTACACTCTGGCAAACAATGGCAGCGCGCCGGCTTTGAGTGCGTGAGTTCGGTACATCAGCCCGAATCACTGGCTCGCCGCACTTTGGCGCGCTGCTGCGGCGTACAGCCACACGCCAGCTTTCGAGCGGTTTGTTTTCACGCCTATCAGCGTCACCCGTCGTTAAGGGGTTAAGATATAGGAGTTATGATATAATGAGTGCAGTAGTTTTCAAATTGTCTGTGAGTTTGTATATTTACTTAGTATGCATTTTATATCTCTGAAATGTATAGTTTTCATTTTTCTATGGGTGGCGAGTAAAGTGCTTGAATGATTGTAAAAGGTTTTGAGATTTAATAGAAAGTAGAATAAATTGGTGATATACTAGAAATTCAAGTATTTTATCATTTTCTAAAATTCTTCTCTTACCAGGCACGGAATCAGGTTCCTAGCATAAGGTTGAATGATTGTAGAAGATTTTGAGATTTAATAGAAAGTAGATTAAATAGGTGATATGCTAAAAGTTCAAGTATTTTATCATTTTCTAAATTTCTTCTCTTACTAGGCATCAGGTGCCTAGCATAAGGTTTATATTGCAATATAGCTTGATATGAGGTTGCTTCTATACGAATATAATGCCAGATTAACCCCTAAAACTGCAAACCCTCCAGCTTGTCTATTCCCCCAGCTGCAAAAAAGGCATGATTTTTCAAGATTTACTAAAACAAATTTTGGTTGCAGGCATTTGAGAATCTCAATTTTGTTCCCCAGAAAATCATTGTCATTTTTTCAAATATACATAGGGTCAGAAAAACAGTTGAAATAGTTATGACACTTCCCCCTCATGTATGAATGAAGATGGGAAGAGATTACCATGAATGTGTAAATAAAACTTATTTTTTTTCATTTTCATCTAAAACAATGAACTGTTTATTTAGATTTAGTTTTGTGATTTGCTTGGGCAATACAGGGCCTACAAGGGGAATAAGGGGAGGGAGGTGATATTGTGGGTGTGAATGAAGGAAACTTGCCATTCGGTACCAGATATGTAAGTGGCCCCTCTTGTCACATACAGATTTTCACACATATATGTACATATGCATATACACATGATCAGTGCTTTACTTGATTATTTATCTCTTCTTGCCACACTAGACATGCCAATGTTGTTTTGCCTATCCCCTTCTGCAAGAGCTTTGAATTGCTGTAATAATTCCTTATTAATTACAGTTGTCACATACTAAATATGTGAATTAAAGCAATCCTTAGACTCCCTTTGGGGAGCCAAGGAGCAACACCTCGCTCCTGGGAGCATCCATCATTACTCTTCAATAAAGGAGTCAAGACATCTTGATTGTCTACCTTACACCCTAAGCTCACCATCTACTATACTCTTGTAGGGCATATCTCTTGGGCTTTACAATATTTGTTCCTAACAAAAAATCCCACCAGCTTATGACAGACCTCTCATGATTGTGGCAAATAGGACTGTGAGCACATTCTGCAGTTATGTTTGATCATGGTGAATAGGACTTTAGGAGTGTTAAAAAACAGTGAAGTCTTTCATTCATTCGATAGATATTACGGTAGTGAACTGAGATTGGTCTGATATATGTACCCTGTCATATATGTCATAAGATAAAATGTTTTTAAAATGAGAGAACTTGTGTGTTTAGTGTTTTTCTTTTTTTTTTTTTCTTTTCATAGATGCCCCTGGTGCTCCTACAACAGTAGGTGGTATGAAAGGTAAGCTTACATTTTTGTTTTTTCTTACATAATCTCATGATTTTAATTAAGATTAGAATAAAGCCATGTATGTATATGTGAAGGTAAAGGTAAATGCTGATCTTTTTGTGTACTTCTAGACACAGATGGCTCGCCTGTAGAAGGTCCTGTAGGAGCTGAAGGAGGGTTACCTGCAGATGATGATACCAAAGACTATAATGCAGACAGTGATGGATATATTGATGTAGATACTGATGAATTTTCTGACACCGCTTCAGTTAGTAGTGGGGCATCAACAGGATCTGTAGGTGAGTGTCTGCTTATGTTATTTGTTTATTGATTTTTGTGAGAGTAATGGAAAGTGGTGTTGAGAGATACACAGGTGTTATAGTTTATGTTTACATTTTTTAGATATAAACCTTTTTTAAGTCTATATTTTTCATTTCAGTAACATTATTGTGCATATTAAAATTGATTTTCAATTCACTGTATTATTGGTTTGATTACACAATGTCTCTTTTTTTATAAACCTATATATTTCTATATCCATTCGTTCACAGGGAGGCGAAACAAAAAGGGACCTGCATTGATGACAAAAATGATGAAAAAGCGCAAGTTGAAGAGGGCAAAAAGGAAGACCACCAATGAGGGACCAGCGATTAAGACTGGAGATCAGTTGGTTGTTGAAACTCTCATGACAACCTCTAAAGCAGATGTTGTGTGGCAGGTTAGTTGTGTTTGTCAGCTCATTGTTGTTTAAGATTGAGTACTTCTCGATTTGTTTATTATTGAATATAACTTTGATGAATTTTGAAAGGCAAACCAAATTTTAATTGGCTTCAAGTATGCGTGTATTAACCTCCTTATTTTACATTACTTTGCAGGATGGATCACTGGAGAAGCGTATTTTGTCAACAGTCCTTTATCCAATTCACCATTTGGACGACCAGGAATTCTTTCCGGGTGACTTTGTGGTGGAGCAGGACTCAGTCGATCCACATGAGTACGGTGTTGTGCAGAGGGTTGATCATGCTGGGAGGACATCCATTGTCAAGTGGTTCAGAACTTACACAGCTGGAAATGAACCACAGTAAGTAGTAAATGGGAAGGACCCTCTTAATTACTGCAGTGTTTCATCATTTAAAAAATGAATTGGTGCTAGTATTGTAATTATTATAGTTAGTATATTGGTACCAGGTACCAATATATTAGCTATGTATGTGTACAAGTCCATCAAGTCATTACAGGACAACAGATGTATTGAAATTTTTCTAAAGATAAAATGTTTGGCTTAGACTGGTAGCTTGATCTCACCTACTTACTCCATTCCTTAGATAAAGAAATATATATTTACTTACTTTACTATTATTATCACAATTTTCTTGATATTGTTATTATTACTGTTATTATTGTTATTATCAATAATAATGCTAATGAAAATTATTACATCTTTTTCAAAAAACTCAAGGAATGATACAAGTAGCTGAGGTGCAGTAGGCCTAGTATTTGACTCCTTGGTGACTAAGCATCTCTGCAGCAGTGACAGTTGAAATAGAGAGTACCTTTTGCCCTTCCTATAGCACTTTGCCCATTTTCAGGCCAGAAATGTTACGTGAACAGGAAGTGAGTGTGTATGATTTGCGCGACCATCCGGATTTCCGCTACCGTCCAGGCTCTGTAGTTATAAGAGTGGCCAATTTTGAAGAGTGTCAGACCTGTTCTACAGGGCAAGTTTTAGATAACTTTCCATCCGGAGAAGTGAGTGAAAAAAATAACCTGGTTTAAAGTTTAGAAAGTTTTAGGTATATCACACATGGTCCTTTTGATAATGCTGATATAGCACTGTGGAAAGTGTTTCCCAAGCACAATGAAAAGAAGAGAAATGAGTTAGGACCTAGGATATGTTTTAGAAACATATAGTACTATGAGATCATAAATGTTCCCAGAGAACTGTATTGCTATAGTATGTGAAGGCAAATAATTGGTTAAATTTATCAAGTATTTCAGTAGTCTTTTTGTCTTTTTCCAGTAGAAATAACAACCGTTTGCCCACAGGTTAGCGTTTGGTGGGTAGATGGGAGGACGTCTGTATGTTACCCTCAAGATCTGTACAAAGTGGGTGAGTACGACTCGGATGACGGAGAACTCTGGGATGACACTGCCTCAGATGAGTCGTGGGAGACAGAAAGTGAACATTCTGTGATTGCAGAGTGAGTGACGTTGGATTTTTATTGAAAGATATTTGTATATTTGGTATATAAAAGACTTTATGTATTGAATTTTTGGGTAAAACTGTTTAAATGAAGTATATATTCTGATTTAAACTTTATTTTAGGGAGAGTGAGAGTGAAAGTGAGGGAGTACTTAAAACAAGACTTGTAGCAAACATTGAAAAAGCTCGTATAGCTATGAGTCGTCTAGAAGAAATTTTTACGCAGAATCCTGCCCTACAGACCACGGCAGTTATGAAACAACTTTTAGATTGTTATAAAGAATGCAGGTAAGAGGATTTGCTCTGAGATTTTTGAAGTCACAGGAAAGGAAATATTTAGAAAGTTTAAATACATTTATACTTATCACTAAATCAACTTAGGTTTTGCCATGATAGTGATATGATTATAAATTCTGAAAGCTTTGGCAAAAATAAGACTTTTTTTATGCTTGTTCTTTTTCCAGGTACATGGATAAGCTGATGGGGACAAGCTTCTTCCATGAAAGCAATTTCCAGGGACTGATAGAGAAGGTTCGTGAGCGTGGCAGAGCATCAACAACTCAGCGCATGACGGAGCAAATTAACCGCCTCTTTTCGGCCTCGGACTCGGAGGGCCCCCTGACTCCGATCATGAACTGTGGGGAGGGGAGCAAGGCCGGCACAGGGAATTTCGACAGTGCTAAGGATGACATGTCCAAGCCTAATAAGGATAATCTGTGCAATAAGGATATGAAACACAACAAGGAGAGTGGGGGGTCTTGCAACGCAGACAGCGACATCCTCTCCTCTAAAGACGCCATCCTCAGCAGTTCGGCCACATTGTCGGAGAATTTGGCCAATCTCAGCTTCTCTCAGGGGTTAGCGCTGAATTATTTTATGTGGCTTGATATCGTATTTATGAAGATAGGCATATTGAGTCAAGAAACTTGTTGATTGGTTTTAATATTTCATTGACGTCGATTTGTTTTAATATTTCATTGATATATTTTGGTGTTTCTCTTTTTTGAAGAAGAACCAGTAAATCTGAGAAGGTTCTAGATGGAGGACGAAATAGGGGAGGCGAGCTACGGCATAAGAGAATGAGTGAGACTGATATGACTCTTCACGAGAAAGTCTCCTCAGATGCACGAATGAAAGACTCCAAAAGTTGTAATGATCTGAAGGTAAGTATAATGGATGGCTTTTCTTCTCTTTCTCTGTTTGTCTCCTTCTCCCATCCCCTTTCTGTCTTCCTCTCCCCTCTTCCCCTCTGCTGTCTCTCTTCCCTTTTGATACTCTCTCTCTCTCTCTCACTCTCTCTCTCTCTCTCTCTCTCTCTCTCTCTCTCTCTCTCTCTCTCTCTCTCTCTCTCTCTCTCTCTCTCTCTCTCTCTCTCTCTCTCTCTCTCCCTCTCCCTCTCCCTCTCCCTCTCTCTCTCTTTCTCCCTCTCTCTCTCTTTCTCTCTCTCCTACTCCCTCCCCCTCTTCCCTTCCCTTCCCTCCCCCTCTTCCCTTCTCTTCCCTTCCCTTCCCTTCCCTTGCCTTCCCATCTCTCTGTCCCTCCTCCTCCTTCCTGCTCTTCTTTTTCTTCCTCCTCCTCCCCCTCCTCCACCATTTCCTCCTCCTCCTCCTCTTCCTCCTCCTCCTCCTCCTCCTCCTCCTCCTCCTCCTCCACCACTTCCTCCACCACTTCCTCCTTCTCCTCCACTTCCTTCTTCTCCACTTTCTCCTCCTCCTTCACTTCTTTCTGCTCCTCCTCCTCCTTCACTTCTTTCTGCTCCTCCTCCTCTCCTCCTCCTCCTCCTCCTCCTCCTCCTCCTCCTCCTCCTCCTCCTCCTCCTCCTCCTCTTCCTCCTCCTCTTCCTCCTCCTCTGCCTGCTTCCTTTCCCTCCTCCTTTCTGTCCCTCTTTCTTTCTCCTTTTCCCCCTCCCCCTACTCCACTTCCCCTTTCCCCTCTCCCTCCTTTTCTCTCCCTCTCCCTCCTTTTCTCCCTTCCCCTTCTCTCACCCTCTCCCTTCTCCCCTTCCCTTTCTCTCCCCCTCTCCCATCCTTCCCCTTCTCTCCCTCTCCCTCCATCTTCCCCTTCCTCTTCCCCCTCCCCTTTCCCCCCCTTCCCCATCTCTTCCCCTCTCCCTCTCCCTACCCCTCTCTTTCTCTCTCTCTCTCTCCTCTCCTTTTCTCTGATCTCCTGTATTACTGTCCTATCACCTTTCCTGAGATAATTGTGAGTTCTGTTACAGCTGTTATAAATCATCACAGTTGCCAGAAAAAATCACAAGACAATTCCCTCTTTTTCGAAGGTGTCCTCCGAAGTCATCAGCGGGGTAACAGAGGAGATCCGCACCTCTCACATGTGCGCTCAGTTGTGCTCTCTCATGAAGGCTCAGTTGCTCAAAACCTACGAGGAGGTTGTGTTCCGTTTCGGAGGCCACTTTGACATGAGTCTCATGCAAGCTTGTCAGGTACGGTTGAACACATTAGATAAGCATTTGTTGTCTGTGTGTATTGTGAAATGTTTCGGTATTACAATTTCCTGTTTTGTTGTATGGGTATGAGATAATGATTATATTATTGTAAATCACACTTCTTTACAGGATTCTGAGGGTGCACATGGAGAAACCAAGGATATCCTGCAGGATGATAACAAAGAGAACATTCCAGTGTTTATTGCAGAAGACATAGTTAATGAAAATACAACTACCATTGCGCTTGGTCAGGCATGTAAACTTGAGACTTCTTTTTATTCATAGGTGGAAAATATTTGTTGGTTGGTTTGATTCTTTCCCCATAATAATCTGAAAGTCAGAACCGTATATACAGTTTGAAAGTAATGCACACTTTCTCTGCAGGTTGTTCATCAAACTGTGATTCCAGTGGAGAAAAGGGAAGAAAACTACGAAAGTATTGATGACAAACAGGCTCTTGATGTCAGTGTAACTAATAACGCCTCCCTTCTGCCGTCTCCCGCGGTGACCGATGACATGATCACCTCCAATGGGAACAGTGGAGAGACGACTGACAAAAATACCTTCTCAGACGATGCAGAAAATGAGGCTTTGATTGATTCCATTATTGCAAATGCTGTTGCAGCAGTCAACGGAGAAGTTGGGTCAGCATTTACAGGATCTGATTGCTTGTCGAGTCCTTCTGAAGGTTGGTGTAGCTTTATTCTTCATCGTCCTTTCCTTTCTGCAACAGTCAAATTTAACTGTTGCAGATAGGTTCATTTTACTAGGAGTGTTGTGTTGTGTGTTCCAAAGATCTGAAAAAAGAAGAGGAACTGGTTATTTCTTAAGAAGAAATAGTATGGAATCTGGTTACTGTGAAATGAAGGGAAATGCGAAATAACATAACATAACATGTATTTTCTCCTGTTTGTCTTTTAAGAATAGACTAAGCTACTTTGTGTGTGTGTGTGTGTGTGTGTGTGTGTGTGTGTGTGTGTGTGTGTGTGTGTGTGTGTGTGTGTGTGTGTGTGTGCGTGCGTGTGCGTGTGTGCACGCGCACGCATATATACGTATTTTGCAGATTTATATAGGTACAAGTACTCTTATTCAATTTTGTTTGTTAATGTATTATTTGGTGTATATGTGTGTGTGCATGTGGTTATAGGTGGGTGTGTGGGTATGGGTATATGCATGTGTATGTGCATGCATATTTCCATTTGTGTGTGGGTGTGTGGGTGTGTGTGTATTTGCGTGTGTGGGTGTGTGTGCGTGTGTGGGTGTGTGAGAGAGAGAGAGAGAGAGAGAGAGAGAGAGAGAGAGAGAGAGAGAGAGAGAGAGAGAGAGAGAGAGAGAGAGAGAGAGAGAGAGAGAGAGAGAGCATGTTTATATGTATAAATATTTGTGTGTGTGTGTGCATGCATGTGTGCGTGCATTTGTGTGTATGTGTGCATCTGTGCAAGTACATGTGCATAAGTGTGTGTATTTATAATTTTGCGTGTATGTGTGGGAATATGTAAAAGTGTGTGCATGTGTGTGTGTATGTTTATATTTGTTCATATGTGCATGTGCTTATCCTTGTATACAAATGTGAAACATGTGTGACTCTGGGTTTGTCTGTGCTTTTGAACTGTATTTCTCTGCACAGCTATTTGTATAAATATGTTTTGCATGTCTGGGCAGATATATGCATATGCACACACACTGTGTATGTCCATCTATTTATTCTTTATTTTTGATTTTGCATTCTCCTTCCTTTTTTTCCTCTCTCTTATGCGATCAACAGTAATACTCTTGTCATTATAATTATCATCAATCATTCAGACTATAAGTACGTCATATACAAAGTATGATTTTGCTGATGATAATTGTAAGTTCTTCCTCTGCATCTCCTTCCCAGTATGTCAACTCCAGTGCTGTCTCCTAGATTATCATTATCATGCCTCTTTTTATTTCCTTTTCTCCTCTTCACATTGTTTGTCTTATGATCTGGAAGGACTTGTACGTATGCAAAAGTTTCCAACACATATATTGAAAATGATACGAGAACAAAATGAAAAGAAACAGAAAAGAAATCAAGTGTGTGTTGTATTGTAATGTCAGTGAACTGTCATTAATTTTGTTCACCCTGTCATGTGTTTCGTGTCCTTATCTACCTTTTCCGCTTGCCACATGCTGCGTTGGTAGGCAGTGGACAGGCAGTAGGAAACTCCGAACCCAGCACTGAGCCTGATGGTGAGACCCCTGTTGCAAGTGTTTTGTGTTTATAGGACACTGGTTATGCATGTGTGTACTTGTACCATAAGCTAGTGATTTGACTCAGCATCAAGGAGTGAATGCCAAATAGCATACAATAAAGTTCTGTAGTTTTTTTGTTTTGTTTTTGTTTTTTTCAATGAAAGCTGTCCAGTAGTTGTGTGTTTTGGATGTTTTCTCATGTATATTTTTTTTCTAAGAATGAAAGGTTTAGTATAGCTAAGAA